GCGAGCCATGCAAATATTGGACGAAACCAGCCAGAGGTCAGCGGACGGCAGATTCGAGACAGGGTTGTTGTGGAAACAAAAGGACTTCCAAATACCAAATAATTATAAAGAAGCGGAAAGGCGCCTGCACACCTTAGAGAAGAGGCTCGACCGAGACAGCAATCTCAAGCTACAGTACGAAGAACGCATCGAGAACCTCTTCAACTCGGGTTACGCAGAGCGCGCGCCAATGACACCGCCGCAAGGAAGGACATGGTATCTGCCACACTTCCCAGTCATCAACCCTGCGAAACCGAACAAACCGCCGAGATTGGTACACGACGCCGCAGCGAAGACAGCCGGAATATGTCTCAACGATATGCTTCACTCGGGGCCCGACTTATTACAATCACTGCCCGGAGTGATCATGAGGTTCCGACAGTATCCGTATGCAGTGAGCGCCGATATAAAAGAAATGTTCATGCAGATTAAAGTGCGCAAAGAAGATACGACCAAAAAGAACGAATGGCGTTGGCTACCGTCTAAAGAAAACGTGGCAGACGACGCAACCCGAGCCACACCAGAAGGGTTCGACGAGTCGCACCGATGGTTCCGAGGGCCCCCGTTTCTGCAGCGTCCACCGGCAGAATGGCCGCAGGAAGAGAAAACGACACAATATGACACCGGGGAAGAGCGAGAAATATGTAACATCGCTGTTAAAAGTGAAGACTCGACAACAACACATCTTCCACAGATAGGAAGATTTTCTAAATGGATTCGCCTCATAAGGGCGACAGCGAGAGTCCTCCTATTCATCGACATGTGCAGACCAAACAAGCACGTAGTGAAGGCTGGGCGTAAACGCAACAAAGCAAGACAAGGTAGCGACCCTGGCTGGCAGAGAACAAACAAACGCAACACCCCCGCCAAGGAGAAAAAGGCGACTCCTACTGCCTCATCGCTTGTAGGAATACCGGCCGCTTATCATATGAGAGCCGAACAACTGTGGGTGCAAGCCAGTCAGCGGGAAAGCTTCACGAAGGAGCTCAAGAGAATCACCAGCGGAAGTGTTCCGGGAGGCGACGACAAACTAGGCCACCTGAGCACATACATTGATGAAGAGGGGACCCTACGCCTCAGAGGTCGAATAAAAGCGGCATCAGAAGTGGAGGACGACATGTACGACCCTCCCATATTAGACGGGAAGCACGCATACACTCGCCTGTACATAGCACACGTACACGAGAGGCTGCATCACGGAGGCGTGGAAACAGTTGTGAATGAATTAAGACAGAGATTGTACGTAAGAAAAATACGTCCAGTAGTGAAAACTGTCGTCAAAGGATGCCTGCCGTGCCGTCTAAGAAAAGCCAAGCCTGCATCACCGTCTACAGGAAACCTGCCGTCCGCACGCCTCGCTCATCACGCACGTCCGTTCACATACACCGGACTAGACTACTTCGGGCCAATAGAAGTCACAGTGGGACGACATCGCGAAAAGCGCTATGGCGCGTTATTTACCTGCATGACGTCGCGAGCAATACACATAGAAGTAGCCCACTCGTTGAGCGCAGACTCAGCCGTGTCGGCACTTAGGCGTTTTATGAGCAGAAGAGGATGCCCAACAGAAATATGGAGTGACAACGCTACGTGCTTCAAGGCAGCAGACAAGGAGATAGCCGAAGCAGCACTCGCAGCCCTCGAGCACGAAACCACGTGTCAACAGATTGTGTGGAAGTACATACCGCCATCAGCACCGTTCATGGGCGGCGTATGGGAGCGAATGGTTCGCTCCGTAAAAGAAGCCCTACGCGTCACCCTCAACGAGCGCTATCCCAGCGACGAAACATTGGGGACCCTGCTCGCCGAGGTCGAAAATACTGTAAACTCCAGACCTCTCACACACGTCTCAGTCGACCCAGGAGACCCTGAAGCCATCACGCCGAATCACATCCTCATCGGTCCCAACTCGCACGTACCTGCGCCGGGACACTTCAGCAAGAATGACGTGACGGCCCGCCAGCAATGGAAACGAGCTCAAGCCCTAGCCGACGTGTTTTGGAGAAGATGGGTTAAAGAATACCTGCCCCTACTCCAACACCGGCGGGAGCCCAGCAGCATAGGAGTATCGCCGAAGATTGGAGACCTAGTCATCATTTGTGACTCCAATCTACCACGCAACACCTGGCCCAGAGGGAAAATAAGTAAGGTATATCCTGGCGTCGACGGAGAGGTACGAGTAGTGGACGTAACCACCGGCAGTGGGCACATACTAAGAAGACCAACGAAGAAGATCGTCGTGCTACCAGAGGGATCGCAGCGTGGCGACGGCGGGAGAATGTGCACGACGCAACAATATTAAACAAACGAAAGAAAATGCTTATTGTAACCGGCGCTAGTTGAACAACCTAGGAGCGGTGGGCGGAGCCATGACGACGGTGTAATTATCAGGCCACGCCTCTGGTTCGACAACTAGCAAGGGTTATACGGCGGAACTAGCGCAACCTTATGTGAATTTAAATTATAATTTGTGTAAATAATTGTATTACTTGTATCGAACGATAAAAAATAATGATTGTATTATAACTAAGTTTAAGGTTGAGTTGTAACTGTGCAATAACTCTCCCAAATAAAGGCACCGTATGAACAGGGAGAGTTAGCATAGTCTTCTAATGAAAACTACAATTGTTAAATATAATAAATGTTTACTTTATTATATAATAAATATATTAGGCCGTTAGGCACATAAAATAGTAGTAGAGCATGTTATCGTGACGCGGCCGCGGAGCAAATGAAGCCACGCGCACCGCGCCACGACGTTTTATATTTATAGTGCTGAGGCGGGGGGAAGGATTCTCCGCCTAAAGCAGCTGAAAATTATAATGTAAACCTGTAAATAAGTACAAATATTGATATGTACACCCTAGTCTAACAAGTAGTTATAAGAATATTATATAGTGAATTATGTTTATTAGTTTGTAAGGTTATTAAATAAATAAAGATAGGCGCGGGGGTGAGGTAAGGGTCCGCTGGCCAGCAGCGGCCAAATCATATAAAAGACGGGCCGGCCGCTAGGGTCAGCAGTCGCTCTCCAGCCACCGAAAAGGCACCAGCAAGAAAAGAAAAAGTACAAGTTCCTCCTCACCGCCGCTTGCCTCCAGTTAAAAGCAAGACCAGCGCGTTTTATTCCATTTTTCGCACGGCATTACGGCGATCCGTAATACCTTAATAATTTATATTGAAGTCGGTTGTACAAAATTATTAATTTTACCACTTGTTCTTAATGTCCTTCATACATGAATACATGTTATTATATAGGCTTATCTTAGGCTAGCTTAAACTCAATCTTGGACTACAAATAATACATTCCATCAGGTACGTGAGATGTCAAACGTTTGCTTACCATTAGCATTACAGCCTATTAGTCTACTGCTGAACAAAGGCCCATGGGGGCCTTTGTTCAGCAGTAGACCATAGTGTATTGGCAACTATGGCAATATTGCCTCATATTTGCCATAGTTACCACGCTTGGCAAGCGGGTTGACAAACGCAGTTTTAAATTTTAGTCGTTATTAGGATGACGCTGCTGCCCTTCTCCTGATTTGTTTCCCTCTGTCGCCTCTTACAACACCCACGGGATGATATGGGTCACTGGATATTCTTGAGCCGCCACTACAAGGTTAAATGAATGAATATGCTCACTCAAGATCAATATAAAATAAGAGCAATACTATGCTGTATTTCAAGGGTTAATGACGAAAAAAAACTTTCCAACTTAGTTCTAAGGAGTTACAAGGATATTCTTTAACAATCAGATTAGGGCGATTCCCTTTAAGGTAGTGACGGTGATGATAAAGATTAACTAGGTACCTCGCTGGAATACGGCCCCTCACTTGCTACGCAGTACTGTACGAGTGACGTCACGGCGCCAGGTACCTAGTTAACTCGCACGGGTTGTATGTATAAATATCCCATTGCGATACTGAAAGGGTAATTATAACAGTACTCCGTGATCCAATTCCAGCTGATTGACTGAATGGCCTAGAAATATTTCTTAAGTGTTCTAGTTTCCGCAGGATGTTTTTCTTCGTTGCTTTGCACAATGTAATCATCAATCAGCATATAAGAAGCATAGAGGTAAGTAAATACAGTTACAAAAACATAAAAACTGTTAGTTCACCGTCAGGGTGACAAAAGTAAACACAACAACTTATGTTGAACATTATTGGTACTGTACCTAGTGCTTAGGCCTGGACACCTAGGTGGTGGTAGCACTCTTTCTGTCTAGAAGTTTGGGTGGGGACCCCCCCCCCCCCCGCCTATTTCTGCCCCGCCAAATAGCGATGCATACAATGCTGTGTTCTGGTCTAAAGGGTGTCTGAAATCTGGTGTATCTGGTGTCCATGGGATCATGTAGTCTCTTAGTAAATGAATATTTAAAAAAAAACACCAGGACGGCCGCTGTTATAAATTATGAAACAAAGCATTGGAGTTTAGTGGAAACAAAACATCTTAAAAATTAGACTTAGCTTAAATTTAAGTACCATCAGCGTGTTAGTTACGCTGTATCTATATTATAGATGCACCTTTAGGTCGGGGATCGGGGAACTACGCTCCGACAGAAAACCCGTGTGAAAAAGCAGTAAAATACTTTTTGTTTCGTATAGGGAGTGACAAAAACCGGTAACCTGTTTGTTAGTAACAAGGAATTTTTTGTTAGTCCTCAACTTACATGGTGACAACTGTATCTGGTTCATAATCGAATATAGATGTAGGTGTCTACAGGCCACACGATCCACTAACCATCAGGTGAACTTGTGACACTTTCTTCACTAAAAAAATATTTGTTCAAAAATCTGACATTGACGAAAAACTTGTAGCTTATATTTAGGTCTAACAATTTTCGAATTTCTTTTTTTATAATACACATTGATATGTCCCAACTATAGTGGGTTTTGTGCAGTTATTTTAATACTTAAAGTGTAAATACTGATGACTAAATGATTTCGTTAGTTACTTACAGTGCAAATAAGTAAGCCTCTTCTGGCAGCTCTAAATTGCTTGAAAACCTCCATTCTCCGTTCATGAGGCATAGAACCGTGGAGACTGAAAACGTCCAAATCCACGGGAACCAAGCCACCTTCTTCTGGTGAGTCGTACTCCATTTCAAAATCCGAATCCGAATTTTCTCTTGATGACGATTTATGCTTATCGAAAAATATATTACAATTACTTTTCATTCGTTTATACGTTGAAATGTATTTGTGTTACACATTGGCGTTACAACATTGCAAATTCAAAATAATAAACAAATGACTTTAAAAATTGTTAATAATTCAAATACTTTTTTTTTTAATTTCTCCCTTATTTGTTCGTAAAATATAAAACACCTGTTTTATATTTTACACTAAATATTAGCTGTTTCCAGCGAATTCGTCCGCGTGGAATTTATTGCAATTGGATTTCATGGGTTTTGATTATGTTTGCGCGGAACCCTAATTATTTTTTCTAAAATAAAAGTAGCCTAAGTTACTCCTTATATCTTCAGCTATCTGCTAATGAAAGTCTCGTCAAAACCGGTCGATTTCGGAGATTAGCCGGAACAAATAGACAGACAGACAGATAAAAAGTAAAAATTGTTTTTTTGTTATAATTACCGTATATATTTTTATACGCATTTAGTAAAAAGATGTTACTTTGACATTACAGACACTTCAATTTTATTTATTGGTATAGATTAGTCCTCCACGCAGAATTTGACTCAGGGCGGCCAGTATTAACGGACGAACTATCCATCTGCGCAGGACAGAATAAAGGCGCACGTGAGAGTGCACAAACACAGATGCACTCACTATTTCCTGACTTTCATAGTCTAATGAGAGAGTAGCCCGGCACGATTAGAGAAACTACACGCAGAAACAACGGGCTTCGAGGTACGGGATTAAAACAACGCCAACATCCTACCTACGTACTTCTGCGGCTATTGCAGCGGGATTTGAACCCAGAACCACATGATCAGCTGTAGCGCTAATTTAGCTAATTAATTAAAGTTATATGTTCTCTCCCCTTGCAAAGAGGAGCTCGGTCTTACAATTTTGACGCTGCTCCCTATCGCAGGTCAAACAAAAAATATTGGTCTTATAATGTTATACAGAAATCACAAACTCGTACCTCATTTTCTTCTCTGTCATCATCATTAGTCTTTCTCTTCTTTGGGTTTGCCGTTTTATTTTTTGCAGCTTTCTTTTTAACTTTAGCTTCTTTGCCCGTCAGTACCGTTTCTAATAATTCTGAATGATAATCGACCATTTCCGTTGTTGCCATAAACACTATCATTTTACCACCTTTCTTGTTTAAAACACAATGTTCAATAATAAGAGAGCATAGAGTCACTAGTCTTAGTTTCATTGGAACAATCAAAAATTTCTGATTAACTGTAGCCGGTAAGACTAACTCATCTTCAACTACCGCCGTCTTCAGTGCCTCAACAAAAATATTTTCTGTTTCGACCACTTGTGTTTCTTCAATTTGTACTGCCTTTTTAGGATTTTTTGCTTCTAATTCTTTTTGTACTTTAAAATATTCATAATCGGAATCACTATCGCTGTCAATTCCATTTTTAGAAACAACATTCACTAAACTCTCTATGTTTTTATCTTTATCATTGTCTTGTAGATTAAGATGGTTCAGTCCCTTAAAAGCTTTTAAACCTAAAACAATAACCTGTTTTAACAAGCAATTTAAGTGTAAAATCAACACAAATTATTATATAAATTACCTTTCCTCGTTTCATAGTTATTAGTAGAAGTATCATGATTAGCAATTTTTTCCTCTTCTGTTTTTGCTACGGTATTATTTAATGGAGGATCTGTGTCACTTTTTACTTTAGTATTTATATTTTGCTCTTTATTATCAACAACTTCATGCTGTTTTAATGAATCTGCAACAAGAACTTTTCCTTCCGATGTGTCAATAAAAACGGGATCTTGCATTGTAATTCCCGCCAGATTTTCTACTGCCTAAAACAGAAATACAAATTCAAATTTGATTGTAGGTGATAATTTGGTTTAAAGTTTTTAAAGTTAAAAATATAATTACCTTCGTGAGGGTTGCTGATAGCAATATCGTTTGTCTTTCTTTTGAAAGAAACACTTCAGTCAAATAATGTTTCACTTTGCTTTCTTCCACATTCTCATTCAAAATTTTCGTTGCTTCATCATTTGTTACATTCTTTTTGACGGTTTGCTTTATGAGAGCTATGGGATCATAAGTTGCAGCCTTTTTGTGATCTTCTATAGCTTTTACAATAGCTGCTACATCTTTTTCATAACCCATATCCAACAAACGATCAGCTTCATCCAGAACTAAACAACTGCAATAAACTACATAAATAACATAATGCTGCTGCTTTTATACTAATGTAAAATATAATAGTATCAAAATATTTACGACCAATTGTCACTGTTGTATTTGGTCATTGTGTCATGGCTTCGTCCACCGAAATTTGGTGGAATGAATCTGATGTCCATTCCTATTTTAGGCTGATAATATATGACTTCAGAACGAATGGGTTAGTTCGATCAAGGAAGGATCACGCTCATACAGAATTTTAACATAAATTAGAGACTAAATACTGCTGAATTTTACATGTTCAGGGTTGATAACCGGAGACCCTTTTATTAGCAATGAGGCATTCTATCTTAGTCATCAGGAGTGACAATGTATCTAGATTGTGATTATTAATCAAGAATAGATGCAGTAATCTATGGGCTACAGCATCCTCTTGACATCAGGTTGGCTGTATGCTTTCATGTAATCATTACTTCCAAAATGGAGAAAAGTAATTTTTAATAAAACACTAGCAAATAACTCAATTTTTTAACAACATTACAGTGACAAAGTGCCTTATTTGTGCTTTATGTCCACTGAATTTTACAAACCTATTTTATAGATTTTCGTTAATAATATCTAAGAAGTATTTAAACAGTAAAACTTATTTATAATTACCCAGTTTTAGCAAAGTTTATAGAATGAGTATGCCTCAAATGGTCGTTAATTCTACCCGGAGTGCCAACCAATATACTAAGTCCTTTTCGTAGTCTCGCCTTTTCTGCTTTTCTTTTTTGTCCTCCACTGAGAAGACCAGGTACAATCCAAATGAAGGGCTTCAATTTAAAAAAAAATTCATCTAAATAAACGGATTGGATTTAGAATCGTTTGGCATGAATTTGAAGGAGTAAGATATTGTATTTGGTAGAGGTTTGGTCCCCGATTATAACAATACCACTGGCACTAAAAGGTAAGGCAGGCAAAGAAATTATTATTACATACTTTACACTTTTCAGTTGAGGCTAGAAGGCTGTGAGCGAAGCGCAGCGCAGCTGCCGCCACAACCTTCGTGGTTATAATTTTTACCGCCTAGAAATACTCGAGCACCCAGAAATCCTTTCAGTTGAGTTGGGTTAGATGTCAAGTATTTCTGAGCGGTAAAAAAAATACTATGAAAAAAAGACTGTGGCGGTAGCAAAGCGTAGTGCAGCTCCCGCCAGTCTTTTTTTATAGTATTTTAGCCTTTAAATTTTTTAGTCTTTGTGGTTATTTTTGTTACTGCCCAGAAATACATGAGCACCCAGAAATCCTTATTCCAGAAACCAGAAATTTTTGGCTTACCAAAATGAAAATTGGGTTGTCTATAGACGTCGGGTTTTTGATTTTAATTATGTTTTCAGTTTAGGAGATTAAGCTTTTACACTGTTTTAGATGTCGGAAATGCGTTTTGAATTAATTACTAAAAATAAATTTCACTAAAAATTGCGTATAACGAAACGCAAATACATAATATGTCTATTTGGTCAGTATTATGAAGTAGACATCCGGTACTTAATTTTAATTTGTTTTCACTTTGGGAGACTTTTCAGAGTTAAACTTGAACCTTTTACACTGTTTTTGGAGGTTGGAAAAGCGTTTTGAAATAATTACGATAAAATAAATTTCACTAAAAATTGCTTATAACGAAACGCAAATATGTCAATTTGGTCTAGTATTATAAAGTAGACGTCCAGTACTTGATTTTAAAAATGCTTTCAGTTTAGGTTTGTCAGGGTTCAGCTTGAACCCTTTACACTGTTTTTGGATTTCGAAAATGTGTTTTGAATTAATTACGATATATGATACGAAATAAATTTCATTGCATATAGGGTCAGTGAAAAAGTTTATTCGTATTTTATATACAAAGTTAAGACATTTTTTTTTTCTAAGTATAATTACATTCAATTATAATATATGTCATTTTGTTCGATAACTTGTTGCCATCTTGTAGATAGTGACATAAACCCGTTGCTGTAGAAATCTTGGGATTTTTGATCAAAAAAATGCGACAAGTAGTTCTGACTGTCCTCCCTTGATGTTGACCTAACACTACCCAAAGGATTCTAACGAGACCGAAACAGGTGAAAATCTGAGGGTGCCAAGTCAGGACTACATGGTCATGGTTGGTGCATTAACACTTACCAACTCTCTCAATTTTTGTTGAGTGACCAAAGATGTGTGTGGTCTGTCGTTATCATTACGAAAGACAACCTTATCTATTGATCAATACTGGCGGTTTTTTCACATCACCTTATTGCGTGTTAATCTTGGTTTTACTCTGTGAAGCTTGACTACCCTTTGACCATGATTTTTTCGCATGTTCTAGTCGTAGGTGATATTGATATTGTATATATTCTTGTGGATCACCTACCGATTCTTTATCATCAGTGATCAATCTTTTCAAAAATGGTTTGGCTTCATTACGTTTCAATAGAGAATTGAAAATGAGTATACAATTCTTTAGGATTCTTTCAGTGATATTTTGTGATACCCAAATATCGAGTTTTTTTGTACAGACTTTTCAAATGGTTAAAAACTGGTTTACGCTTGACCCACTTTGTACTACTCTTGTTGACACTGCATTAGGTTGAGTCACATGTTTTGCTTTTTTGAAGTGTTTTTATATTTTTTTTCTTCTTAGAAATAATATTATTTCTTAGTTCTTAGTAATACATATAGATATTAAATACATATAGTATTGATATTAAAACCAGCCAAATATAAACAGTATAACCAAAGAGATTTTTCTTCAATTTTATACAAACAAAATACGAAGAAACTTTTTCCCCAACCTATTATAACGAAATGGGTCACCCATAAAAAACTTAATTACTCAGACCTAGACAATCCATTTGTGGCTAAAGATGGGGCTCATACACAACGAATTGAGTCACAATGGAGAGCAGTCAAGAGGTTGTTCAGAAAACAAAATTATAACAACACATTACATTGTTTCATTTACTACTATCATAGTAGAGTGTAGGGCAACCTGACTATATAGATAAGATAGGTCGAATCTGTACTAAAACTGAATCAGACTCCACGTAGTCTTGGCTGCCCTACCCCTAGAGTGTTTTTGTAAAGCCGTAGGCTCGGAGGGAGAGTAGCTCCCGTCTGCTGTAGCAAATTGCAAGCACCTGTGCAATCATAGTGGCTGAGGCTGGTCGCTGAGGGCCAATAAGCTAAAGCTGCGGGGAGGTGAGCAAGGGTGCCTACGATTTGCTACAGCGGGCGGGGGCTGCACTTCCCGCAGCGCCAAAGCCATTGCAGAAGTAATTTTGGGTCAATATTCCTGTGTAAAAAGTAGAGTTATGATTTTACAAAAAAAAAAAAACATTACTCATAAACTATACTTTTCCACAAGGGGGAAGGGTAGAAGGGCTTCCCTTAAATCCACCCTCTCCCCCACCCTAGTACGCAAGTACCGGATTTCTATAGTTTTACCTGAAAATTTTAGACTATAAGTAATTGATTATTTTCTGATAATTTGAAAAGTTCACAAATAACAATCACATTTGGACTATAAACATTTTATAATTTTTTTAGAAACATTTTGTTATTAATTATTAACATTAGAAATTTAAAAACTTACCTTAACTAGCTTAACAAATAACTCATATGTTTGAACAGCTAGCTCTCTGGTTGGTACCACAACAACAACTTTAATACCATCATGTCTGTTTATTTTTGGTCGTATGGCCTGCAAACCTTCTATAATAGGTAATGCATAAGCCAAAGTTTTTCCGGACCCTGTTTGTGATCTAAAATGAAAACAATTATCTAATATATAAAATTAATTTTTGTTTCTTCGTATTTTATGCACTGCCATACGGTACATCAGATTGCAGTAAAACTTATTGCTTACACTTACCTGAAGGTTATAGGCATAGTACAATTAACTTACACTCGGTGGCGCGCGTGTCGTACCGGCAATTTATTTAAGAGTTATAGATCATTCAATTTCAAATATCGTATTATCAATCCTAATAAAAAAATACAACAATACAAAATATAATACGATATTTCCACAAATATTTCCTCTGTGGCGGCAATGCGCCAGGTATCACCTAGTTATTTATAAAATAAACAATAGTTGTTACAGTAGTTTGAACAAACTATACCATTATCAATGAATATGGAATACACCACATTTCCCTTAGCCAACTTTTACAATTTTTTTAAGGGACAAATTGGTGATGGTTAATACAATCATATATTAAATAAAGAATTGTTATGGGTCTCGCTTTATATAACTAGTTTATCATTATCATCACAGCCTTTCACAAGACCACAGCTGAACATAGGGCCCCGGTCCTGAACCACCTGTATCCATTGAATTCCTGCATGTGTCTTACCAGGTTGTCACTCCATCTTTAGCATGTTGACAATCTACTAATTTCTAATGTCAATTATATAATTTACAACAAAACATACATAACAACAAGAACATAAATAATAATGTCCTCCAGAATAAATTTGAGTGATGTTGGCCAGTTTCAACAGAGACTAGCCATCTGTGCAATACAAGAAATTGAAATTTCTTCCTATCAACGGAAATATTGTATTAAATAAGTTATAATTACCACAGGAAACATAATAAGCCATGTGGTAATGGCGTGAGAGTTTCCATCGCCCTATTTAATCCTATGGATATTGTTAAAAGCAATTATAGTAAACACCAGAAAGATCTTATAGCTTCTGTTAGATTGTGATATAACCTTGTTTACCCCAGATGTAAAATACATGGACTGGCCATGTGTTACAGTATTACAGGTGTGAGACATCTAGTACTGTGATTGTCAATATGCATGCCATGCAAGATAATTAAGGCAAAACCTCCCTGCAACGGGAAAGGCCCATATCTTTTACAAGAGGAACAAGAAAGAGAAGAACATATTTTTTAAAGTTATTATGCTTATTTTACCAACATTTATTTAATTATTAAAGATTAAATAATTTAAGGCTTAAAACTCATATAAAATCTTACCTAATTAAAACATCTCTGCCTTGCAGTATAACTGGAATAGCATTTTGCTGTACTGTCATGAGCTGTTTTAAGTTCAGATTTTGATGTAAATTTGCAATACTATGAGGATGAAGATCCAAATCTATGAATGTTTGACCAGTAAACACCTTTTCTACAATTGGTTTAACTGCTTTCTGACCAATATGTGGTACATCAGGATTATTTTTAAACAACGAAGAAATCCAAGCTCCACTTCTAGGTTTTTGTTTAATTTGCAAGTTGTCAATAAGTTCCTGATAGTTTTTCTCTTTAAATTTACCTTTATTTTCACTAAGATCTCTCAAATTTGACTCCAAGTCTATTGATTTTACAACTGGAGCGCCGGATACTTTGGCTACCTTCAGTGGGGGCTCCTCAGTATTTCGGTTAATGAACGTCGTCGTATTACGTACATTTTGTGGTCTCTTTCTTGCTATTATTTTACCAGTAACCACGGGTTTTGATAAAAATTTGTACTCTGAAGCATGTTTTTGATTTATACCAGACTTTTTATTTCTATTAATCTAAGAAAACATTAAATATTATTGTATATATAATGAATACTATAATCACGAAATCACAACTAACAAATATAAATCACAACTTACGCACCTTTTTAGCAGCAGATATATTTAATTGTAAATCATCCATTGGCTTGACCTGGTTTGTGTAACGTTTACAAAATTTACTTCATTAATAAAAATATTACGATTGAGGTTAAGCTCACGCCTTGTTGTGACATCTGAATCTGACATCAGACATTGTTGTTCGTACGATTTGCCATTTAAGACAGGCTAAAATCTATGACCATACAACCTAATTTGATATTTATTAAAATTTTTATCGAATTATTCACGATTTGTTGATGCGTCACCTAGCGAAATTTTTGAGAGATTTAAACGACATCTAGCCACCCAAGTGGATAGAAGTTATTTATCTATATATGTTTTTTATATATATGTTCATTTATCTGGCATGGAAGCACAAAACACAATTATTCTCTACCGAAAGGCCTGAAGTATGCACTAATCTTACATTATCATGCTTAATCTTACACTAATCTACGCGTCCTCATAATATATGTATATTCTAACAATTTCGAATCGTGCTAACATCCTAACATATAATTCTAATGAACCTTCCAATACTTCATGTGATATTACCAATATTGACAATGCCTTAAAGAAACCGCGCTGACTCTTTTATATTTTGCAGCAAATAATATAGCAGGCGTTAAAATATATATATATACTAGATAGGCCAATAATCAATTTTGAATAAAAATTACGAACCGCAAACCGCAATAGCTAAAAGTCCAGATCTACCACTTACTTTCGTAAATTATAGATCTAACATTTCTATTTTACTGTTTTATTAATTAATCTTCTTGTCCACCTTTGACTGCCTCTTTAGTCAAATAGTCGTAAGTGTGACTGCTAATCATGTAATCCCAGATTCGAATCCCACGGTCGGGCTAAAGTCAGTTAATGAGTTTTTCTAATAATGATTTCTTATATTTACGCGAACACTACACATTTTTAAATAAAACTAATTTTACGGATTTTATCGCGTATATTAACTTATTTTTATATATTCCCGACGTTTCGGGTGCTTTCCAGCACCCGTGGTCACGGGGGACTGAGTTGTTTGACGTCCTGCTGTCATAGTTAGCCCGGCTACCGTCAGTTTTTTAATATTAATTTTTGGTTCGATTTACGCAGAATGAGCTTACAGTATCTTGAAGTCTAGCAGTGGTATACTTGGGTTTGGATTTGATTTTATTAATTATGGGATCCCAAGCAGATGGCAGCACCCATCCATCTTCTCTATTGAAATTAGGATGTTTTTTAATTTCAATAGCCTCGCGAATCATCCTTGGGAGGAATCGGTGTTATTTTGCGAGGATTTGTGGTCTATCAAATCTAATGTAATGGCGGGGACGATCTTGAACATGTTCACAAACTGCAGACTTCCCGATACGTCGGTGCTTGACGTCAGCTATATGTTCTTTAACGCGGGTTTTAATAGATCTTTTTGTTTGTCCTATGTACGAGAGACCACATTCACAATCCAGCTTGTACACTCCTGCATCTTGTAGAGGGATTTGACACTTGACGGATGGTAAAAATTGACTAATCTTCTTCAGCGGCTTGAAGTACGTTTTAATGGAAGCTCGCTTCAAGATGTAGCCAACCTTGTCTGTGACTCCTCTGACATAGGGTAGTACAGCAGGCACACGCTCGACTGTGGCTGGCTTCACTCGGTCACTGTGACGTAGGCGCGGGACCCGAAGCTTGTTGTCTTGCAGTACTTACTCGACGTGCTGAAGCTCGGCGGCCAGATGTTTTCTGTCACAGATCCCTCGTGCTCTCTGAAACAAAGATTTTCCCACGGTAGCTAACTGTGAAGGATGATGGTGAGATTCACCATTTAAATATCGGTTGGTATGGGTATTTTTTCTGTACACAGTATGACCAATAGTGTTATCAGGATTTCGGATGACTAAAACATCTAGAAAAGCTAAAGTATTGTTTGCCTCTAACTCCATTGTGAATTGTATTTTAGGGTTTATGGAATTAAGGTGGTTTAAAAATGCAGTTACTCTGTCAGATGGTAATTTGTCAGATGGTAATTGATTCTACAAGCGGTAGAATCAATTAATATTAGGTAGCACGAGGGATCTGTGACAGAAAACATCTGGCCGCCGAGCTTCAGCACGTCGAGCAAGTACTGCAAGACAACAAGCTTCGGGTCCCGCGCCTACGTCACAGTGACCGAGTGAAGCCAGCCACAGTCGAGCGTGTGCCTGCTGTACTACCCTATGTCAGAGGAGTCACAGACAAGGTTGGCTACATCTTGAAGCGAGCTTCCATTAAAACGTACTTCAAGCCGCTGAAGAAGATTAGTCAATTTTTACCATCCGTCAAGTGTCAAATCCCTCTACAAGATGCAGGAGTGTACAAGCTGGATTGTGAATGTGGTCTCTCGTACATAGGACAAACAAAAAGATCTATTAAGACCCGCGTTAAAGAACATATAGCTGACGTGAAGCACCGACGTATCGGGAAGTCTGCAGTTTGTGAACATGTTCAAGATCGTCCCCGCCATTACATTAGATTTGATAGACCACAAATCCTCGCAAAAGAACACCGATTCCTCCCAAGGATGATTCGCGAGGCTATTGAAATTAAAAAACATCCTAATTTCAATAGAGAAGATGGATGGGTGCTGCCATCTGCTTGCGATCCCATAATTAATAAAATCAAATCCAAACCCAAGTATACCACTGCTAGACTTCAAGATACTGTAAGCTCATTCTGCGTAAATCGAACCAAAAATTAATATTAAAAAACTGAAGGTAGCCGGGCTAACTATGACAGCAGGACATCAAACAACTCAGTCCCCCGTGACCACGGGTGCTGGAAAGCACCCGAAACGTCGGGAATATATAAAAATAAGTTAATATACGCGATAAAATCCGTAAAATTAGTTTTATTTAAAAATGAGTTTTTCTGTCAAGAAATTTTCTGTACCAGCCAAGAGTTACGAATTTCGTGGTATTTTACCTCCGTGCCTTGGAAAGCACATAAAGTCGTTGCTAGCAGGACCTGATTTACCCACAGGCTAACTAAGCTGGAGCCTTTTTTTATAGAAAAAGGGTGACAAACGAGCACACAGTCCACCTGATGGTAAGCGGTTGCTGTGGCCCATTGACATCTACATCTATCTTCGTTTGCGAATTAAAATGCAGATGCGTTGTCAGCCGTGAGGACTAAGATAGAATGCCGCTTTTCCAGTAAATTGTGTCTCCGGTTCTCTATACTCACCATACGACTCACAGCAGCATTAAGCTGCTATTTTACATTGGTATTCTGTGAGAGCGAGGTCCTTCCCCGGTCGAGCAGACCCATTCGTGCTAGAACTATAATATAGCTGCAGCATGGCTCTACCACGTAAAAAATGGCGCAAGGTTCAAAGAGTCGCTGAGCTTACCTTTGTAAGCATCACTTATGTACAGAATAAAGTTTGGTATATTATCCTCAATGAATAATATAGTAAGTGCTGCGAGTATTTTACTTGTTGCTCTTTTTTAGTTTTGTTAAAAAAACAATTAAATATATTGTAAAAACAAGAATTTGAATTATTTGGTACCTTTCGTCTTTCGTTGACTGACGTGACGTGGCTGAAAGATTTTAAACTGCTCAAGCTCACTTCTCTACCTCTAATTTTTTTAAGGATTTTTGCCAAGGCTGTCCAAGGCAACTTCTGTCAGCCATTTGTCCCGTCTCTGCTCAGGGAGAATGACTCACTGGCCCATGCCGCAAATGAGAAAGTCGGTCTTTTAGGTTCAATTTTTGAGTCCAATTCGACTCTCGATGATACACATAACACACACACACACACACAAGTCGAGTGGGCCTGATGGAGTCCCTCTTATTGTACTGAAGACGGGTAGTACACACGGTAGCACAGTAACTAGGTTCTAATGCGTCTTTTCTGGTACTCCTACCACCTAGGCATATTTCTGAACTTATGGAAGACAGCTTTAATGCACTCGATTTCTAGAAAGGCGACCGCCCTAACCCGTTCAACTATAGGCTTATCACCATCGCCTCTGTGTTTTACATAATAATGTAATCCATTATAAACTGCTAGCTCTTAAGGTTCCTTTGATGACCACTAGCTGATTAGTGACTGCCAATGCGAATGCAAATACATCTGACTCATAAGTGAGCGGAAGCAGTAGAATTCAAGAGGGAGACTTGGTCGTTATTCGACATAGCAAAGGCATTCAATGGGCTTTGGCACAAAGCCTTTCTTTAGAAGCTTTCTTTCTATGGGTTTCCCGAGAAATTGTGCAATTGGATCATTAGTTTTCTTTCATATCGGAGCATCAAGGTCGTAGTAGAAGGTGGATACTCCAACTACGAGCCTATTAATGCTAATGTTCTACAAGGCTGCCCGCTATCACATACGTTGCTTCTTCTGTATATCAATTATGTTGCTGTTTTACTGGTTGTAACATTGGTGATGCTTTTTACACCGGTCGTGCATATATTTCTCGGGGATACGTCATCGGGTATCGGAGCAAATTTGTGTATGACGTCAAGTATTTATTAAACAAAATCTCGGATTGGGGACGACTCTAGTCCAGTTTAAATTTCAGAAGACACAGCTTTGCGCGTTACCGCTTAAAAAACTCCTTTGTCATATATCCTCAATTTCAGGGCACTCCACATAGTAACCTCAGCAAGCATAGGAATCCTCGGAATCGACATATTGAATGACGTACAGTTCTGCGGTCATTTGGAAGGAATGGCTAAACTTACCTCTAATAAGCTTGACGCGCTCAGCAGAGCGGGACAGTATTTCACACCTGTAGTATGGCACACCATTTGCAACTTTACTAGACGCAAGTTTGCCGTCACATGGTTTACTGTTCTCATATCTGGTCCGCGACACCAGTGCCAGCTTCTTCCACTTGACCGCATCCAGCGAAGAGTGGCTCGAATCGTCGACGACCGAATCATTTCTGATCGGCTCAATTCACTGGCGCTGTAAAGGGATGTTGCATCAGCATTTTCTAACGTATTTGGACAAATTATTTGGATTAATTCCAGCCGCCAAACTCCAACGCACATCGGGACAAA